GAAGGTTGAACTTTTGGTGTAGGAATGAGAAATTACTATATATAGCAAACATTGTAAGTAGAATAAAGGCACAGTTGACTTCATTGACTATGGATGTAAAATAACACTAGTCTGCCTGATTATTTAATTTCTGCACTCTGAATTTACAAGGAGTAAATTAATGATTAGGTTGAGCTATGAAAACACAGAAATGAGATCCATGTGACCGCATGTAACTTCTGTGATACAGTAGAAGACAAAAACTCTGAAACAATGGGTGGGAACAGGAACTAACAGAGCTAAAATCTCATTGAAAATAAAGAAGCCAGCTGGGATACGTAGTTGGATTCAAAATCGTCCCGAACTACATAGTCATACCATGTGTCAAAAAAGAAACAGCCGGGTGTGTGGTGCACACCCATAATCTCAGCACCCCGGAGGCAGAGGCGGATGCATGGTGGGTCAAGCCCAGTCTGAGCTATAAAGCAAAACAAACAAACAAATAAATGACTTAGAAAACATTTTGAGCTCTATAACAAACATGTAAAGATTATTTTGTTGGGAAATTATATGTTTATGGTTAGATAACTAAATAAGGCTGTAAATTTATTGTGTGCTTAAATTTCTGTACTCGGTGGTATACTTCATGATTTGGGAAAATATTAAATTTTTTATTCAACTTTTTTATTTTTTATTTTTTGGGGGTACAGGGGATTGAACTCATGTCCTTGTGCTTGACAGGCAGGCACTTACACCACTGAGCTAAATCCCCAGCGCATTTTGTATGCTGTGTGAAGAGTTGAGATTATTATCAAAGTTATATTTTATTGCTTGTAATACAGCAAATATATACATGCATATGTTAAAATATTCTAAAGAAATATTCTTATTTTATAGATAAGGAAATCAATTTTTTTTTCAAAATCACATATGACTTGGAGTCCGTCTCACTCCAAAACATAATGTAATATATAATATTGTAACAGTAATGTAATAATGTAAAAATAAATTAAGGTCAATTTACAATTATTAGAAGTAGAAAGTGAGTAAACACAAAGCACATCATTGAAAATCTCACTACTTTTCATATCTTAACTCATTTAAAATTGTGGTCCAAATTTTGTTATCTTTTTAAAGTTATTATCTATTTAAATGTATTATATCTTTCCTTTATTTTGTAAAATGCATATTTGTTTATTTGTTTAAGATTGAAACATATGGACTTCGCATCAGCCAGGTGGGAAAAGATAAGAGCTATCTTTTCTTTTGTAAATGTGATTGCTACTGTGCAGCATTGTTTTAAATTGAAGACTTAGAATTCACAAAGTTGAGTGAAAGAATTCAACTATAACATAGAACATATTCTATGCTTCTGTCAATGTAAAGTTCAAAGTAGGCATAACTGCCAGGCCTGTAATCCGAGCATTTGGGAGGCTGAGCTCGGAGTATTGCCACAATCTCAATGCGTGCCTGAGCTACATAGCGTTCAAGGCCATCCTGGACTACCTAACAAGACCCCATCGCAAAAAATAAACAAACAAAAGAAGACATCACTAACCAACCAAGGACACAGAATGAGTAGTTTCCCCCAGGAAAGTGTTATGCCTGAAATGGTATAAAATGCATTTTGGGGCTTTGAGTATGACTTGTTTCATTTTATTTTATTTAAGTTCATTAATGTATGTTTATAGTATGCAAAGCTTATATTCCTGGGAGGAGGTTGGTACAAGCACATAACACAGTTTCTTTTTCTCTTCACCCCACTTTCCTCCCTCCCTACTCCAGGCATTTCTTCATCCCCTTCCTTTTCCTTTTCTTTTTTAGCATGTTTGCAGTACATAATGTTTACATGCCTTATGTGAAGTTAATGCATGAACATGACACGTGACAATTCTTTTTTTCCCATTCCTCTGCCCTGCCTCCCCTTCCTTCTATCTCTTGATCCTTTTACCTTTCCAGAAAGATCTGCACTACCTACTTCCGATAATTTGTCTTTTATATTTTATTTCTTGATGTAGATGCTGGTCACATAGATGTGCATATTTTACAAAATTTTATCAAACAGTTCACTTACACCAAGCATGTTTGGCATGTTTGTTTTGCCTAAATAAAATTTATATGAATAATAAATAGTTTGTTTCAGTGGAAAGTCTAATAATTATCAGAAGTCTAAAAGGTTAATATGCCACCAAGTTTTTGACTAATTCTAAATATTCTCAAGATATGTAAATGAAATCTAATAGCTTACTTGATTTAGATTTGGTTTTGAATTCTAGTTGAGAATATGCTTTTTACTTTTTAGGTTTTCCTTTATTAAATAAATAAAACTTTATGGTTCAAGCCTTTAAAAAAGAAAACTGTAACAACTTTTTACCTATGCTCTTTTCTTTTTTCCTTTTAGTGAGAATGTGACCTAATTGAAATCTAATTACCATTTCTCTGATGTCAGAACTTCAGTTCTGCTATTATAAAAATCATGCAGATCACATAAATAAGATGGTAGTTTAAGCCTCTTTTTAAAACTGAAAATGTTATCTCTTCTGAGAAATTCATGAAACATATGATGTTAAAATAAAATATCTGGGCTATTTAATTTAAATTAACTTATTTTACAGGTAGAAAGAATTACCCTGAAATGTTTTAAATACTCAGAATATTTAAAAAAGTAGAAACTAAGTGAAACTAATTGAGAACATTAATGCATATTTGACATTATTTACTAAGTCATTGATTTCATTCCAACATAGTACTTATTACTTAGCCTTTGGTTATTTAAATTTAATTAAAACTAGTTCTAATTAGAATTTCAAAACCTTAACCATATTAGCCTCATTGAATAGTGATTTATGACTAGTGCTTACTTGTAAAGTATTTCTATCCCCCAAAATTCAACTGCATATTAACTTATATAATTAAAACAACATATTCCTTAATTAGATTTTTTCTTATTATAAAATAGAATTATTTTCATGCAGTTATTTGTATTGTAGTGGCAAATCATACATTCTTAAAGTATGATTTTAACAGCAATATTAATAGAAAAGAATAGCTGTATAATGAAAAGTAATATTGATAAATAAAAATGCATAACTTACATGCTTAATATGAAATATAATAAAAATGTAACCTTGTATAAATTTTCTAAGATTCTCTTCCCCACCATTTTCTCCAAATTTTCATTTTAAAATAATTTTACAATTATTTACTAAAAATTATCTTAAATGGAATCCACAGACCCATACATTGTGCTCAAAGTTGTATTTATAAAGAAATAGAAAAATTATAAACAGCAAATTACTCTTTTTCAATCCTAAATGGTAAGAAATTTAAACGTAGATAATAAGCACATAAGGAACAAATCTGTTAAGCAGGATACAGAAAAATTAAAATGTAAATTAGTTCAGTTACCTAACCTGTAATTAGGATATATGCATCCCTACATTTCTTTGTTAGAAACATAGAACTTTGATTTGCCTTATGTCACGTGAAACATACTAGTGTAATCCGTTATGTTCATCCCCTTAGGCTATATGCTAGATCAAAAGCACAATCACCCTACATGTGGATTGATAACTGGTGATCAACTTATCACCAGCTGAACTGAATCGGTGTAGTGCTGAGTATGTATGGTCCACCTGAGCATTGTTGCCAAGGTAAAAAGGAGAACTGAAGAGGAAGAGATAGTGTTGTTGGTTCCTCTGGTTGTCATTGGTTCTCCTGGAGGAGCTTGTGGGATTCTTTCCTGATAGGAACTTGGTTGTTCTCACAGTCAGAGGAGCTCAGAACCTTGTCACTGAGAATAACTGTGGTTCACTTTGGGGGAGCTCTGGTCTTTACTGTATCACTTGAGGGAAAGATGGTGTGCTGTTCAGTCTCCCATGGAAGTTTGTCAGCTGGTTTCCTGATATGAACTTAGCTGTTCTTGTTGTTGGAGGAGCTCAGGACCTCATTGGCACTGAGAATGACTGTGGTACTTTTCAGGGGAGCCCAGGGCCTTACTTTGAGTTACACTTCCTGGGTCCTGTACAGAACCCTCAGCCTACTGGCACAGATCCTTCATCCCACTGCCACAGACTTTCTGGCTTCCACCACTGACTTTTGCCCTTCCAGCACAGATCCATGAAACAGACTTGCACAAGACATAGAGATGGGCTTCAGCTGGACTCAGCACGACATTGCCATGAATTCAATAGAATTCCTTGGGTCTTAGTTTGTGGACAGATTTCCTACACTCTTACTTCTAGTATTTGACTCTTTGGGTGATCATTGTAAAATAATACTATAAATTATGTATCCCGTATTGCCTTTTGCTCCTTGCAAACCCAGACTACAACATATAACAAAACAATCTTTAAGGAAAAATTCAACCCTTCAACCGATTTGAATCACAACTCTGTGTTTAACTCATCAGCAAACTGATCAAAACTGATCAAACTGAGTCAGTGGTTGACTGACTCAGCTATTGTGTCATTGTATTCACAATTCTACAGTCATTATCATCTTAATAAGTATTGAACACTAGAGCAGAAATTTCTATAATATGCATGGTGATATTTAAAACATGAATTTTAAGAGAGCTTTGTTGTGTTACTTTTACCCAAGAAACAGTGGTGTTTGTCTTAGTTACTTTTCCCTGGATGCTCAAAGTCAAGGGAAGGAGACAAAGTTTGTAGAAGTGTCAGTCCATATTCCACTGTGTCCAAAGCAGGATGACACCTGGCAAAGAGGCAACAGCGGAAAACAGCAAAAGCACACAGGAGCTTCGACAATGTCTTTCTATCCGCTTTATGCTCTATCAAGGTTCTTGGGATTAGCATGGTGCCAAAACAATCTTGCACCCTTAATCCCAGCATCACACACTTCAGATTCGGCTGAATCTGAAAAGGTTCTATGACTGTGTGAAACATCAGGGGGACATTTAGACACAAACTGTAACAGTGTTGCAAACAGAAATGGGACCTTCAAAGAAGGTTATTTTTCCGGTGATGTATAACATCTTTTTTTTTTTTTTTTCCTTCTAGGCTACTGATAAAGATACTGGCAATTATAGCGCTATGGCATACAGGCTCATAATACCACCAATCAAAGAGGGAAAAGAAGGATTTGTGGTTGAAGCATACACAGGGCTCATCAAAACTGCTATGCTCTTCCATAATATGAGGAGATCCTACTTCAAGTTCCAAGTTATTGCAACTGATGACTATGGGAAGGGACTAAGTGGAAAAGCAGATGTACTTGTAAGTAAACAATAATCAGGTAAAGTAAATATATGTGATGTTAGCCAGGGGATAGAATTTTGATTTTCAGTATTTTAAAGAATTTAGAACAAGTTTTCTAAAAAGTAAATTCCATTAACCTTCATCCATATTTTTAACTCGCAGCCTTTTGTAACTAATAAAATAAAAGAATTATTTTTTAGGCATTTATCTTTCAATAGAAGTGATTTTATCAAAATACCATTTAATGCCATTGGTGATCTCTGACCATTTTATTTGGCTACAATTAGGAATATCACTTAATGTTATAATTTTCTCTCAGGCTCTACCCAAACTTAATGATAGATCATTTCCAAATACAGTTTGTTACAATAATATCTTTTATTTATAATACTTAACATAATTCATATGTCTAGTGGAATCTCTACTGCCTTGAAAATGTGGGTTATATGGACTTTTAACTAAAAAAATCCAGCAGGACTATTATTGGAAATATATGACACATAAAGACAGAAGACATAAATTTTTTCTATTGTTCTTCAAATCCTTCTCACAATTTGCCTCATAAATTTTCTTTAACTTTTGAGTTAAACAAGTTTAACTTTTTTATGTACATGAAACATCAAAGATAAAGGCTGTCTTTTAGACAATGAAAAACAATCAACATGATTGTGGCTATTAAGATCAGTACCACCCTACAATAACATTTAGCTAGTAACAGTAAATCTGCAATACATTCAGCAAAGATCCATATAAGCCATGAAATGCTGCTATAGAAGATATTAAGGTTGGCATAGTGTTCTGATCATATTAAAGTCTATAAATCTCATGTGAGATAGTAGCATCATAAGTTGTTCTTATTAGGTAAGACATGAACATAGTAGAGCCTAAAGTCTAAATAATAAGCTCAGTATACTAAGTGTCATAGTTTGTAGAAGTTTCAGTCTCCTGTCTGCAAGGCAGGGTGGCATGGCAGAGAAAAAACAGTGCATGGTACGGCAGGCAGGAATCAGCAAAATGATGCAGCAGGCCTGGCTTCTTTCTTTCCCTTTATGCTCCACCCAGGCTGAAAGCACATTGATTGATGTTGCCCACAACAAGCATGCAAATTCTATTATCTACCTCTACACCCAGAACTATGCAAAACCGATTCAGTTATCTCAAATCCACATTCATACACCCTATATCCAGCCATCTCCAAAAGGCACAGCTGTGAGCACTTTTCAAAATATAAGACATGACACTAAGCATAATTAAAATATTATGACAAAAAACACAGGTAGAATATATACAGCACAAATACAAATTTTTAAATATTGTGTAGAAATTAATAGACACATACCCCTAAATCATCTAAAATATATTTGTGAAGAAAAAAATTAATTTAAAGAAATCATAATGTGTTACACTTGTAAGGAAATTTATTGTATTCTGATGATTGCTACAACATGGTATAATCATAGTTCCTTTAATGACTTTCTTCCAATGACTTAATTTCCACCCTACTTCAACCACTTAGAAGCACAGTTATCTTCTTCATTATTTATGCGATTCTATTCCCAAACCCTCAGTTATGAATACGTCCAGCTAAATTCTGCATTCTTTGGTTCCCACCAGAACTTTCAGTCCTGTCTTTAGTCGACTATAATTTTACCCACCATTATGTTAGCTATTGAAAATCTTTCATTTTTCTCTTTCCTTACTGCCTTTATAATACACTACAAGTACTTAATAATTTAAATTTTTTAACATTCTTTCCTTATGTATTTGTCATATTTCTCCAGAGAAACAGGAACAGTGGATTTATTAGATGAGCTCACATGGCCAGAGAGGCCACAATGGCTTGTCCATAAGCCAGAGAACGGGGAACTCTGTAGCTTGGCTCAGTTTAGGAAGCCAGGAGCCTCAGATTGGTAGAGAGTGATGATGGTCTCAGAGCTCCTAGTGATCTTCGGCCAATAGTTTCAGTGTGCAGAGGTCAGACTCCTTGAGACTATGTACCAGGGCAGCAACAGCAACTGCTGAACACAGTCACTTAGGAAGCAAGCACTAAAGAGAGAAATAATTTCTCTTGCTTGCACTGTCTGGTCCGCTTCGTCTGGTCCTCCAACTAACTGTATGGTGCCTTCCCATAGCCAAGCAGGTCTTCTCCACTCAGTCCACTAACTCCCATACCATTCTTCTCTGGAACATTTTCATAGACACGCTCAGATATAACATTTTTCCAGTTCCCCAGATTTTGCACAATCCAGTCACTTGACAATCACATAATGTACCACTGTGCTATATTCACTTTGCAAAGCTATAGCTCTAGTTAATTCTAAGTCTTACCTCTTTTGGACCTATATCTGTATGACTATGTCTGCAAACACACACACACACACACACACACACACACACACACACAATTATATGATTAGTTGCATTTTAAATAAGCTTTTCTCCCCTAATAACAGGACTATTTATTTTGTGTATTCCCAAATTCCGTATCCTGGAAATCTATGCGATGTACTTTCTGCTCATCCTCACTGCTGACTAAATAAATAGCATCTTATTTTATTAAAAGATAAAACTAAAGCATTTCAAAGGACATTTCTACAACTCCTGCCACTAAATCTACCTACCATCAGCATCTTTACTAAAGTGTTTTCTTTCTTTTCTGATACTTTAGGTCAATTCCCTGTATCTCCAACCATGCAGCACATCCAGTTCCCTCTGGATGAGTCCACCGTCTTGCTCGCAGTGCCCCCATTTCTTCCCTAAATTCTAAATATTTACTTTCTTTCCTGCCCATTCTCACCATCGTGTTTTAACTTATTTCTGTTTTTGAAAATGATAAAAAATCCTTTTGATCTTTATGTCCTGGGAACTCCTTCATTACTGTGTTTCTTCCTAGAAAAATTCAGTGTTGTAGTTCACTCTAATTTTTCACCATCTCATCTCTCTCAAATACTTTCTAGTCATAATCCTACCCCAGCACTCATCCAAAATTCTATGGTACTAAATACACTGATACCTTTGGACATAGTATGTCTTGAATTATCAACAACACTTAACTATCATCTTCATTAGGCTTCAGGGCTCCGTGTTCTTGTTACCTCCATTCATCTTATTCTTCTAACCTTGCAGTATTGAGTTTTTTTCAGGATTCAGATATTTATTTTCCTTTCTATCTGATCTCAACGACTTGGTTGGTCAAGAACACAAATTTAAAATATGCACATTCTAAAAATGCTCAAATTTAAATTTTTACTCCAAAATTAATTTCTGAACATTATACTCATAAATTTATTTGTACATGCAGTATCCTCTTGAATATTCACATAAAATTTGTCCATTTAATGTTTCATAAAGCAAATATTTCTCATTACATTTCTTCCTCATTTCTTTTGTTTTTTCTTTTTTTTTTTCTTCATTTCTTTTGTTGACAGAATTATCTTTTGGGTTCCAGAGGCTAAAAATTTCTTGATTCATTTCTCTTTTAAATTTTAAATTTATTCCCTTAATAAATACTGTTGTTTCTATCCTATTTATTCTATCTATCTATCTATCCATCTATCTCTTTCAATAAAAGGTGACTAACCTCATTTTCAATTTTTGTATGATTAATTGAGAAGTATGGATAAAAACTATGGTTGTCTCAAGAGAAACACTATGCAGTTTGAGCTTGTTTTTTCTCATGGGGTTTTTAAATTTCATTTGAAAGAGCAACTTGGAGACAACATATATTTATACAAACCAAAATAGTTGGCAGGTTTTTACACAAAATAAAGTCAGCCTATCATTTCAAGTAGAAGACTGACAATATTTGTTGCTAATGAAAATTTTTGATACTTTTTCAATACAAATCACACCATTGGAAAACTTGTATTCACCACTATGAGCTTAACAGCTTCTCACTATTTAACACTTTTCTGATGAGATCAATGATCATATTGACTAATATGTTTTCTTCATTTTATCTAATGAAATGTGTCACCATTTGAAAAATATGACAAAATTCTGAACTTATATTTTCCAATATCCAATACAATGATCCGTGCAAGATTTTGCAACTCAGTTGTGGGTAAAAAATTCATTCAATGTACAAAACAGACAAGTGAATTTTCAATGTTACCTAACACGGATCACACCAAACTCACAGTACAAAAACTTCTATTTGAATTTTGATGTAACATAAAAGAAGAAAATATATAATTAACTAAAAGGCAGTTAAACTATTTCTTTCATTTCATGAAAAGTAAGGTTGGAGTAGGGAGCAATTTGGAGCACAGTAGCTAACTCAGTCAGGAGACAGTGAATGTAATCATTGGGCTGACTTGGCCCACAAGCTAGCACGTGGGCAAACAGTCACTGAGCACCTGAGTTTTGAGCTGCTTCATAATGAGATGTACAGCATATATGACATATACACTGGATATCAAATTGAGATTGTAAAGGTTTGGCTCATATTATCTATAAAAAATGTAATCTGTCTCTTTACTAAGATATTTTACATTGACTAAATGTTGCAGTTAAACATATTAAAATATTAGATTAAATGTATTATCAAAATAATTCTGACAAGATTTATCTTATTAAAATGTGAGTACCAGGAAATTTAATATTATGTGTATGTGCCAAATATTTGTGAATTACATTCCATCAAACCCCAGTGTCTAATTTTATGGAAACAAATAGTTCCATAAATAAATAGTTTATGAGAAAGAAGTAAAAGAACTTAGAAATAAAGTATCTAACTCAGTGACATCTGTTTTCAAAACTTTGTGATCCACAAATTACTTTTCTTTCTTTTTTACTATCCTAGTAATTTCAATCAATTACACAGAGCAATCTTAGCAATGATGTAAATGCATATATAAAAAGTACAAATCAGTAATTGACCTATGAAGACTCAAATGAAAAAATTTATAATGATAATTTTTAAACTATGGTATAAGGAATTGATGATGTGAATTTTTTTTTTAAATGAGATATCTTTTTTGTTGTTGTTTGGTACCACGGATTGAACTCACGGCCTC